GAGTAATATCAGCGTCCCACAGGGGAGCTTAGCGGCTGCCAAATGCTTTGCAAACAGAACATGTGTCAGGAAAACGCACAAGCACAGGGCCCGCAGGTGGCCTGGTCAGCCACATCTGCTGTTCCTCCAGCTCTGACACCCGACTTCCCTCCAGAGCCATAAACCTCACATCTCGTGGAGGCTCTGGACACCATCACGCAGGAACCATCAGAACCAGCAGGGCTGGCCCTGTTACCTAATGACTTAAGCAGACGGGATTCCATGTACTTCAGGTTTTTACATGATGGCGCCTCAGAGGAAGTGCTCCCAACTGTTTGAGGAAATGGGCAACTGTAAATCAGGTAACAATATAACCCTGACTTATTTATCTTTGTAAGAATTTTCCAGCAAGGGCCCCATTTGCCCAACGTGTAGCCAATTTGCAGAGTCATCACTTTGGGGAAACTCAACCCACTGGCTCAGCTGGAGGTATGTGCTAGAGGCTTGTAGGGGCCCATGCACACCATAGTGCTGGGGCTCCACCTTGTATCTTGGTCCGGATCAATATTATCTTTCATAGACATGAGACATATGACAGAAAATCACCAAACAGTGGGAGATCTTCCCGTCTGTGCTAAAACTGCTCTTTCCTGCTGTGGTCTCCTCCGGATTCTTCCTCCTGTGTGGAGGCTGTTTGCCTGGACGGCAGCTGCAACCCATGTGATCCAAGACATTAAAGTAGTGGTTGCTTTGTGCCACTGAGTTCATTCTGACTCATAGCAACCCTACAGGGCAGAGCACATCTGCCCCATAGGGTTTCTTAGGCTATAATCTTTATGGAAGCAGACTGCCAGGTTTTTTCTCCTTTGGAGTGGCTGATGGGTTCGAATCTCCAACCTTTTGGTCAGGAGCCAAGTACTTAACGGTTATGTCAACCAAGGCTCCTTTAAAGTGTTAAAAATCAGCCTAGACTTCAGGGCTCTGGCTGATGCTAATTAGCAATCAAGGCCAAGGCTAAACTCAGTGTCCCATAATAAATTATGTTACATCCTTATGAGAGAATATTATGCAGCCATAAAAAGTAACATTTTCAAAGAATTTTATGAGACCAGAAAATGCTTATGAAGTGATGTTTTAAAAAAAAAAAAAAGATGTAAAACCCACATGTGGAATACAGAGTAGGATCCCAATTATGTAAAACACTAGATGGAAATATTCTAAAATGGCAACAGTGACTATCTTCATCAGTAAAATCATGTTTGAGTTTTGTTTTCTTTCTTACGATATTTTTAAAATTTCCAATATAAGCATTTGTGACTTCTGTTTACCAAAAAAATAAAATAAAACCCAATAATATTTATAAAGACCAACCGAGATGTGATCTGCTCCAGTCCTCTGTTGCTGTTTGCCATCGAGTCGGCCCTGACTCATAGCGACCCCTCCTTGGGTTTCCGAGGCAGTATCACTACGGAAGTAGGACTGCCCAACCTTCCTTCCGAGGAGTGGCTGGTGGGTTTGAACCACAACCCACCTGGTTAGCAGTCAAGTGTCTTAGGCACAATGCTACCAGAGCTCCCCAACCAAATCTCTTGACCAGTAGAGTGGGAAACATTGGTGTTGGGTTCAAAGATGGCAGCCAACTGTACTGCTTTGAATGTGTGTTGCTAGACAGTATTTGGAGTATAGTCGCCAGCCCTTGCCCCTCCCCAAATCATTTTATTGATTTTTACAAACTGTTTTTCCTTTGGGCCTTCAGAAATCTTTTGAGAAAAGGAAATCTCAGGAAAAAAAAATGGCACCTGGACCCAAACTGAATTTTCCGTAAGCTCAAAAAGTCCGTTGCACCAGTGATGCATGGGGAGCTCTGCATGTGGAAAAAGTCTCCAGAGGGCGCTAATGCTCAGTGTGTCTGCTGCGAACCTGAAAGGTTGGCAGTTTGAGTCCACTCCGAGGTGCCTCAGAAGAAAGGCCTAGCAATCGACTTCTGAGAAAACCGCCCCTGAAAAGCCTGAAGAGCACAGTTTCACTCTGGCACACTGGGGTCACCATGAGCCAGCACCGACTCAATGACATTGGTTTGGTGCTTTTTGGGTTTGGCATGCAGAAGCAGCTTGCTTGCCCCAGATTGTTCTCCTCTGTCCTAGTCAAACTGCTTCTAGAAGACTGGCTTCAATTGTGGGTGCCATGTTAAAAAAAGATGATTGAGAAAACTGTCTTCTGCAGAACACAAAAGACAATAACGTCTTTAGCAACAATATCAGCAGCAACACTACACTGTGAGCTAAATGTTTACTCCTCAGCTGATATTGGACTCAAACATGATCTATTATTTTATTTGATCTTTAAAGGAACACTTATACAGAAACTTGAGCTTATTAAGTAATGAGGTAGCTATAGCTGAATCTGAGTAAAGTTGCCTGAGAAAAGAAGGCAGGAGATACCTCAGAGAAGCTTTTGCCTCCTCTGCAGTTAGCGGCCTCGTTACTAGAATTGGAGAAGTTAGCTGAGTGAGTTGGCATTACCATTAGGATGTTTGTATGATCCTTTCTGACTAAGGGAGCTCTGGTGGTGCAGTGCCTAAGGCATCTGAATGCTAACCAGAAGGACGGTGGTTCAAGCCCACCAGCCACTCCTCAGAAGGAAGATGTGGCAATCTTCTTCTGTAGGGATACTGCCTCAGAAACCCAAGGAGGGGTCACTATGAGTCAGAGTCGAGTGGATGGCAGTGAGTTTTTCTGTCTAAAAATGACAATCTGACTCACTTTAGAATAACATAGGTCTAATTTGAGAAAATTTGAGTGATGCAACAGGTGTAGCTTGTGGGAAGCTCGTGGTTGAATGGTCCAGAATTAGGAATGGTGGTCTCCCAGATGGTCTCAGCTGACTCCACTTTGCAGCCACCTTTGACCCCCATTGGCCTGACTCTGGAGGCACTGATGGCTTGTGATACCAAGTATTGTTCAGGCATGCCCTGTGGGTGGCTTTGAGGGTGACTGAGGGAATTAGATCCCTTCTTATGGTTTAACAGGAAGCTGTGGCAACAGTTGGTCCTTACCATAGCAGTTATGCCAATCAGCTGGTAGTGATGGCCTCAGCCAATGAGAAGATCTGCTTGTGTGGGACTCTTCCATTGGTCAAATGGGTTGCTTCAAGCTCATGTGAGAAAACCATGGCCTCAAACTTGTTCTTCCTAGTTCAGTCATGGCAGATGAAGTGAAACAAGTATAGACACAAATGTGTAAAATGTGGGTAAACCAGAATGGTAATTAGAACAGAAAAATTAAGGGTCGATGCCCTGCTAAAAACTTAATCTCCTTAGAAAATAAGAGCAGCATGCATGTTGCTGCTGTTGTTGTTGTTATTTGCCATTGAGTCGGCCCCGACTCATAGCGACCCCTCCTTGGGTTTCCGAGGCAGTATCACTACGGAAGTAGGATTGCCCAACCTTCCTTCCGAGGAGTGGCTGGTGGGTTTGAACCGCCAGCCTTCTGGTTAGCAGTCAAGTGTCTTAGGCACAATGCTACCAGAGCTCCCCAACCAAATCTCTTGACCAGTAGAGTGGGAAACATTGGTGTTGGGTTCAAAGATGGCAGCCAACTGTACTGCTTTGAATGTGTATTGCTTTCCACAGTCCTGGCAATAATCCAGTCTCCTGCATTAGGCTTCTGAAAGGGTTTACTGTGCCTCCTCCAAGTCTCCCATTGCAGCGCTTCAACTATAATTTTTCCTGTTCTGGTTATCATTCCACTTCACCCAAATTTTAAAAATACAGGTCTGTTCTGATTCTGTTTTGTTGGCCATGACTGAATGGTCCAAAACCCTGGAGAATACAGAGTGCCCAAGAGAAGTGTATTCAACCAATAACAAAACAAACAAACAAACAAAACTACTCACTGCCATTGAGTCTATTCAACTCATAGAGACCCCTCCTAGGGTTTCTGAGGGGGTATCTTTACAGAAGTAGATTGCTCAATCTTCCTTCTGAGGAGTGGCTGGTGGGTTTGAATCACCAGCCTTCTGGTTAGCAGTCAAATGCAGTTGTCAGCTCCAGTTCATGGCAACCCCATGTGCGTCAGAGTAGAACTGGGCTCCACACGGTTTTCAGTGGCTGATTTTTCTGGGAGTAGATTGCCAAACCAGTCTTCCGAGGCACTCCTGGGTGGACTCCAACCTCCAATCTTTGGGTTAGCAGCCAAATGCATTAATGATTTGTATTACACAGGGACTCATTGTGTTAGGCTGGGTTCTTTAGAGAAGCAAAACCAGGAAACCTTTTATATACATATATAGAGAGAGAAATTTATCTTAGGAAAATGGCTCACACACTTATAGAAGCTGGCAAGTCCAAAGTTCTTGGATCAAACGTCAAGCTGGAGGCTTTTCCTAACTCATGCAGCTGGAGGGGCTGATGAGCTGAAGGATGGCAGGCAGTACTGGCTGTTGACTCCAATGAATGATGAATCCAAGATCTCCAGGCCGAATGGTGGATTGTTTGCTCATGGACAGTTGTAGGAAGCACAACAGGATCCTGATCCACAGAAGAAGAATGTTTCTTTTCCCAGGATGTCCATAAATATACTGGAAGCAGGCCACACCCCTAGGCCAAGTCCCTTTCAATGGATTGGCTGCTCAAAACATATACATCTGATCCCATCATGGGAATAACCCACATCACAATTGCGAAAACCACACAGAATTGTGGTCCAGCCAAGTTGACACACAACTCCAACTATCACACTTATCCAACCAATAACACACAAGAAAAAATACATGCAAACTATCTGTATAAAACTATCTGTATTTAATAAAACAAAACTAGTTCATCCATCGAGCTATGAGGCACATGGTTAATCTGTACTAAATGTGACTTCTTCTAAGATGCTGATTTGTGTTTTAAGGACTTGGCTGCTTCAAGCAATATCCTTTGGAGCAGAGCTATCTGGGAAGCTGACCCAAGAGGGGACTTCCAAGCTCAAGGGTGAATCTGGACAACTTCTTCCTGGGTCAGAGTTTGTTCAGGGTCACATGTTCTTGAGGTCCTCAAAGACTACATGGGCTGCATTACGCCCAGCAGCTCCCATGACGCCTCCTCCTGGAAGGGAATCTGCCATGAACCAAAGCTCTGCTCAAAAACCAGGGCAAACCAGTGTGGGGCTGCTTTGAGGATGATGCTTAGGCTGTGGGCATGAGGATCATGGGAATGACTGTTAAGATACAGATGATGGGTACCTCCCCAGGCTTCTTGCACCAAATCTTGGGGAGGAGGAAGGGCAAGTCCACAGTCCACCTACCCTCCTTCCCTCCTTCTATTGTTGTTCACCCTGTTCCCCTGACTGCAAGCCTCCCACCTCCAGCTAGCCCTCTCAGCCCACAAAGGGCAGTGGGATTTCAGGTCGCTCACCAGGATGGGCCCCACTTCCGCAGAGATATAGGCCTGGGAGGGGGCAGCGGTAGCTGGAGTGCAGGGGTAAGGGGCGAGAGAAGTAAAGCTGGTCCAGGGACATGGCACAGTGGAATATGTTCTGCAGGAGACAGGGTTAGTTATTAATGTAGAGTTTTATAGCTCATACTGTCCTGGGTCTACTAAAGGGGCTTTTTCCCTCTGGGTTTATTCCTCTCCCTTGTTGTCTGAGGAAGGTTCTTTTCCTTCCAGGTTGATCTCCCTGGTTTTTAAGATGCAGAAAGGGGAGGAGCAGAGAGAGAACAGGCATATGTCCTAGGACTAGGGGTGAAATTTTCCAGAGGCATTTTTCAGGAAGAAAGAAAGGCAGGGGTGGGAACATTTTAGAGTATGAGGAAACTGAATGTTCCAGAAAGAAAAGGAGGGGTTTTAAAAAGTTTTGCTGTGGACTATGAATCCCTCTATGCCTGAAAAATACAAATATTTGGCTCATTTTTGGCTGCTGGAACATGTTTCTGCTGGAACATGTTTCTTTGGCCAAGACCCCCATCTGAGACTGGACCCAGGAGTCTAAGTGCCAGCAGGGTCATAGTAAATGGCAGACAGGAGTCCCAGGACTGAGCTCAGTTCTCTTCACTAGCCTGTCTCAGACCAGCCCCAGGGCAAAAGAGAGGCAGCCTGTGACAGACGGAAGCTCACACGTGTGGCAAGTCTGGAGAGGGAGACCAGCACCTGCTGGACTTCACCACAGGGATCAGAGGCTTCAGCCTTCAGTATGGATTACACCTCAACATAAAGAAAACAAATATCCTCACAATTGGACCAAAAAGCAACATCATGATAAATGGAGAAAAGACTGAAGATATCGAGGATTTCATTTTACTTGGATCCCCAATCAACACCTATGGAAGCAGAAGTCAAGAAATCAAATGATGTACTGCATTGGACAAATCTGCTGCAAAAGAACTCTTTAAAGTGTTAAAAAGCAACTTTGAGGAGTAAGGTGCACCTCACCCAAGCCATGGTATTTTCAATAGCCTCAGATGCATGTGAGAGCTGGATAACAACTAAAAAGTCTGCAGAAGAACTGATACATTTGAGTTGTAGTGTTGGCAAAGAATACTGAATGCACCATGTACTGCTAGAAGAATGAACAATCTGTCCTGGAGGAAGTACAGCTGGAATGCTCTTTAGAAGTGAGAATGGCCAGACTTCATGTCTTATATTTTGGTCATGTTGTCAGAAGGGACCAATCCCTGGAGAAGGATATCGTGCTTGATAAAGTAGAGGGTCAGCAAAAAAGGAGAAGGCCCTCAACCAGACGGACTGACACAGTGGCTGCGATGCTGGGCTCCAGCGTGGCAGTGACTGTGAGGACGGCACGGGACTGGGGAGTGTTTCGTTCGGTTGTACAGAGGGTCACTATGAATCTGAACTTTCTGGACTGCACCTAACAACGACAACATGCCTGTGGTTACTATCTTATTTGGGACCAGATTGTCTTTGTTATGTTAATGACACAGAACTAAAGTAGGGCATATCTTGAGTCAATCTCTTTTGAGATATAACCAAGATTAAACGAACAAGCAGAAAGAGAGATGGAGAAGATAGATGCCAAGACACATGGAATCTTCAAGGAACAAGGAAGCAGAAGCCGATAAGACAGGGACCTTCCATGACAGAGAAAGCCTTCCCTGAGAGCTGATGCTCTGAATTTAGATTTCTAGTCTCCTAAAGTGTGAGAAAATAAATTTTTACTTGTTAAAGGCATCTACTTGTGGTATTTCTGTTATTGCAAAACTAGATAACCAAGAATTTGGTACCAGAAGAATGGGGAACTACCCTAACAAACATCTGAAGTGTGGAAATGGTTTTGGAATTGGGTAAAATGGGTAGAAGCTGGAAGAGCACTTGACTGCTAACCAGAAGGCTGGAGGTTCAAATCCACCAGCCACTCCTCAGAAGGAAGACGGGGCAATCTACTTCTGTAGTAATACTGCCTCAGCCACCCAAGGAGGGGTCGCTATGAGTCGGGTCCAACTCGACGGCACATAACAACAACAATAATAGTAAATTCTTACATTGCCTTGAAGAGACTGTTGGTAGAATTATGGATGTCAAAGGTAATTCTGAGGAGGCTCAGAAGAAAGTGAAGAGAACTATAGAACAAGTATCTAGCATTTTAGAGAATATACATGGTGCCAGCAACAGAATGTTGCTAGAAATGTGGATGATGAATGTGATTTTGGTGAGGCTTTTAAAGAAAATGATGAATATGATGAACATGTGATTGGACAATAGAGGAAGGGTGATTCTTTTTATGCGGTGGCAAAGAACTCATCTGAATTATGTTCAAACATTTGGTGGAAGTGATGAACTTGGATATCTTACTGAGTAGTTTTCTGAGCAAGATCTTAAAGAGGCCACACGGTTTCTCCTTGCTGTTATAGTAAAATGTGAGAGGAAAGAAATGGACTTAAAAAATGAGTTGTGTAAAATGAAAATAGAACTTAAAGATCTGGAAAATTCTGTTGTACAAACTAAGGACACTGTCCTAGAATGTTCACCAAGGATGGAGCTACACAATCTTTTGTTAAAGAACAATTAAGCCTGTGACCAACTACCACAGCAGGAAACCTATCAGCTTAGACTGAAGGGGACAGCGCCTTGTAGAATTCTACAGGCAAGAAACAGGCCAAAGAGCTCTATCTGCTGTCCTCCAAGAAAAGAAAAGGACTATCTCTGTAGCAGCTTGGAGATCAGTAGAATTGTTGGAAGGAACACGGGAAGTGGGGCCATTTCAATTTCAAAGGGTAGGTCCATAGTCTCTTAGGTCTCAAAGGGTGGGCCACAGTATCCTAGGTTTCAAATAGTTGGATCTTTGACAATGTGGTTCAGGAGTTTGGGGCTGACTGTTAAGGTATGCCAGGGGGATGAGACCATTGCTTAAAGCTGAGGGGGTTGGGATGCCATGCCCATTAAGAAGAATGGAGTCTGCCAGGGCTGAGGGTGTAGGATTGCCACTGAGATGGACTAAGAGAATGGGGCCACCTAAAGCTGAGGGAGTAGAGTTGCCATCCTGGAGGGCCTAGAAGGCAAAGCTAAAGCCCGGGGCCAATGAGCCTCCACCCAGAGTCCAAAGGGCAAGGCCACTACCAAGATGATCTCAGACAAGAGAGGACTGTTTTCAAGCCTTGAGAGCTAATGTAACTTGTTCTGCTGATTTTTGGACTTGCATGGTGCCTGTTACCCCTCTTTTCCCTCCAATCTCTCCTATCTGTAATGGACATGTCTACCTTGTGCTTGTTCCACCCTTGCCCTTTGGAAACAGATAACTTGTAGTCTAGATTTCACAGGTTCACAGATAAGATGAATTTTGCTCCAAGATGGAATATGCATAAAGTCTTACCCATGTTTGATTTAGATACTTCAAAAGATGAGATTTTTGGATTTGGAGCTGATTTAAGACTTTTGGGAGCACTGGTAGCATAGTGTCTAAGGCACTTGACTGCTAACCAGAAGGCTGGCAGTTCAAACCCACCAGCCACTCCTCAGAAGGAAGGTTGGAATATGCATAAAGTCTTACCCATGTTTGATTTAGATACTTCAAAAGATGAGATTTTTGGATTTGGAGCTGATTTAAGACTTTTGGGAGCACT